CATAGTAGTTTTGTTATCTTAAAATTCAGATTATTTTCTTGCTAAGAACTAAGAAGGCTATGGGAAGATTCCTTGCTATCTCCCACACAGCTCCCCTTTATTTATCGAATAATTAAAAAAAAAAAAACAGAATCTGTTTATTTTATAGATATTCAAACTTGACCTTATTCGAAAAGTTGAGCGTGGATTAGATTCTTTTTTTCTTCCAAAAAATAATAATTAGAAAATTTATGGAAGGCTTTAAATGTCGGTGATAAAATATGATGAATATTTTTGAAAACTTATCAAATTCGTAAATAAACATTTACACATTAAAATTTATTTATTGATATTAATATTATGTCTATATTAATAATATTATATATTATTTTTTATATTTTGATGATTTTTTTACAATATTATGAAAATGTTTGATTCGATGTCAAAACATGGATATATCTTTTAAAAATAGAAAAGCGGCTGAAATTTAATACTTTTTTTTTGCAAAGGAATTTAATACCCTATTTATGCCTATGGGTATATCTTTTATCTTTTTTAATTTTATTTTTTTTAAAAAATCTATGAATAATAGGTATTATATGACACGACAGACACCAAATTGGCCCATTGTGGCATAAGTACCTCCTTATTAAAAAAAGAAAAAAAAAAAGAAAAAGAGAAATATATGCCTTTCCGATGTCTTAGTTGATTGTTTTTTTCTCAAGAAAGAAAAAGTTGACAATTTTTTTTTAAAAAATTAAATACATTTTATTCATAATGTTTTATTGCTTTATTATTAATGATTGACGCTTTTATTATTATTTTGATTTTTCTTTTCTTTTTGAAACGAACACTTTTGAAAATTTAATCACAAATTTCAGTGAAAGCAAAGCATATATAAAAGATGATTTGAAAGAAAAGTCAACTCTAATTTCAGACTGCCATTTTTTATCACTAAAATCATATCATTTGAGTCCATTTTTTCCCCTTTAATTTTTCACGGAGACATTGATATATTCTTCCCTTCTAAAATTTATAAAAAGAGAGAGAAAAAAAAGACTAATTTTATTTGAAAGCAAACTTGTTCCCTCTTATTATGTTTTTTCTTTTTCACTTATTATATTCCCAAACTTTTTTTATTATTTATTTTTGGTTAAAAATTACTTTTAGTCCACATTAAATTAATTGTTTAATATCTAAACTTCAATGCCTAACAATTTAGTCTAATATTTTAAAATTTTCATTTATGTAAATTGATAAAAAAAATATTATTGATGTAGATTGATAAAATGACAAAGGAACAACCCTGTTTAAAAATTAAAAGCCTAAATTTTTAGAAAAATTGACACTTAATTGTTACCTATTAAAGTTTAGAATCTAAACTTATTATCAATTTCGAAGTAATTAGAAACTAAATCATTGCTCCTAACAAAAATGAGATTAAAAGTTTGCCTTAAAATTTTTATTTGGATTTGCAGCCTACTAATATTCATGATGCAAGTCCTAGGTCATGTTGTCACATCATATACTAAAAGTCCTAGAAATTCTCCACTGTCGGTGCAACACATTATCACTATGATTAACATTATAATATAAGAAAAGTAGGGCCTAATAACATCATAATCATCATACTTTTTCATATAAAAGAAACTGAAACATCAAAATCACGAACCCAAAAAGCAAACACACAACAGTTCTTTATTGTAACAGAAAAAGAACCATGCAAAATGCAGTTCATTAGTTCATAACTTAAAAACAGGAAACATACGAAGTGGTTGCTTATTTAAGTCTAATAGAGTGCTCAACCACGAAGCAAACTCAGCAATTTTGATCATATTTTGATGAAGGAAGGAGCTTCCAGAAACCATTGATGGACATAGACACCATTGTCTCGCAAATCCTTGAACAGATCCATACAGTCTCTCTTCAGCTCACTCTCTTCATCAACCCCATCATCTCTGCAGCTCAGAAACACCTCGTCCACCCAGCAAATTACTCCGCTTTCGAACAAATCTGATAGGAACTTCAGTTCCTCCTTCCCTGCATCCATCTTCAAGACGACGAAATCAGCATGCTGCACGGTTTCTTTGAACCAAGACAGAAAATCGAACTCGTCGTCGATGTACGGTTCTTCTCCTTCTTCGTCATCGCCGTCGTTGTCTGTAGTTTGATCAGTTCCAGCCAGGCCAGGATGATAAACAAACGTGACTCCTGGCTTATGTATGTGGGTGGCGAGAGCAGACATGTCATGATCAACAAGATAAACATTAAAATCTCTGCGATCTATGGGATAAGAAGATGGAAACCAATCTTTGTTGGTGTCATTCAGGCGCTTCCCTGTACCAATATTAACATAGACCAACTTTTCCCCATTGGAAGCATCCACAAGCTTTGGCAAATAAGCCAGCCTTCTGTCAAATCCCACAGATCTTTGCTTCACAAGAGGCTCCATTTTTGGAATTAAAGGTTTGTTTCTTGTGAGAGCGCGGCATTGAGACGACAAGTGAGGCTCCAAATGCCCAAACTCGTCGAGTTTCTTCTTGAAAACAACCAGAGTTAAGTTATTAACATGGCCGACGTGCATCACAGTGGAAGTTTTCAGTAAAGATGACACTGGGGTTGCAGCTCTAATCAAATTATTGGGCATTGAATCACTCATTCCCACAATGACAGCCCCAATTCCGCCAGGTCTAAGCACACGCTCGATCTCAAGCACCAGAAGTGCAGGCACTGAATATTTGTCTACATCTCTAGAGAAAACAAAATCAAATGATCGATCCTTAAAGTCCAGTTCGTAAACAAATTGTTTTCTCCTTAGCGAGAAGAATCGGTGTTGACCAACACCGATAACATCGGTAAATTCCATGTCTCTCAGTGCCAATACGGCGGAGGCAGATCCCTCTCCAATACATAAAGATTTTGCACTGTGATTCAAGAACTGCTTCTCCATTAACTCGGTAACGACATTAATCGTCAGATTCATATGTTCCTCACAGTGCAGCGCTACAAACGGCACCCAAATTGGATTCAGGAAGTGACCCTGAAACAAGTAAGATCCTCGGGAAACTTTCGCACTAGCATCATTCGACCTCACAACACAATCACGAAAGATCGCCGACGGGATTTCTCCGAAATCGGCACCCGTCAATACATGCAGCAAAGGAACGGTCGAAATCGCCAAGGCGAGCAAGAAAATTCGAACAACCACACGCCTCGCGAGTGATCCATGAACGATCTGCCATTTCATAGCCTTCAAATTCATCTCCCCAATCACCACTCACAACGCGCTCAGAGTTCGTTTACGAGAACAATTCCTCAAAAAGTAATTACGCAGAGAAACAAAGCCAGATTGAGAAACGGAAAAAAGACTAGCGAGTACAAAACCTGGATGATGTGTGATTTCCACCCACGAGGAGCCCCATAGACTTTTGGAAAATTAACCAGACCCTCTTCGGAACCTTCATCCTCCGAATTCTCCCGTCCCAAGTCACCATCGTCGAAGAAACCAAATCAAACCATGGAGCTTCAAGAACCTACATCACATTCTCCAAAAACCGACTCCCACAGCACAAAATCCTCGAAAACACTAACTGAAACTCAAGATCGAAATCGAATTTCAGACTCAGGCCTAGGGTTTCGAGCGAAGAAGAAGAAGAAGAAGGGTGGTAGTAGATCTAAAACGAGCGGTTCCATTAATACTGTGAGCTTCCAGTAAAATCGTGTCCACTCTAGGTACTACGTGGCACGAGGAGATATTCTTGGATTTTACACGTGTCGAGTACTGAATGGACAGGATTTGAGATTAAGGAGACTGTGGGCCCAGAATTATTGGCGAGCAAGGGCTTTCTCGTAATTGTATGGGGACGGTAGTAGTACAAGGTCGATCGGGAACATGGGAAAATGACTCATATAACCCTCCAGGTTTCTATTTTGCTCAAATAACCCTGCCCTCTAAAATTGTTTTCAATGACCTACTTTATTATTTTAATTAATTTAAAAAAGAATAAAATTACATTTGTACCCCTGAAGTCAAAAAAACCAACCGTTGGCCTTTCCCCTCTTTCTTTTCCCATTCGTTTTTCCTTCGTCTTCTTCTTCTTATCCTCTTCGATTCCCTCCGTTTCCTTCGGCCATCTCCTTGACTTAGACCTCGTATTTAACGGGCCACTGATACACAACATCCTACTTAGGGAGATCAAGGATAGTACACCTGACACCATTAGCTTCAACCTGTTTGGGAGTAAGGTGTCATTTGGGCGGAGGGAGTTCGACATTATTTCTGGGCTTAAGTATGATAGGGGTCTAGTTAGAAAAGACACATCTCCCCACAGACTTAGGGCTCTTTACTTTAATGATAGCAACGAAGTTCTGTTGAGTGAATTTGAGAAGATTTATTTAGCCGCACGGTTCGAGGATGACTTCGACGCGGTCAAGGTATCTATTGTATACTTAGTAGA